GGAGTATGGTGTTTATGTGGCTTTTGTATTATACAGCACATGTATAGGTTATCATTTACGTCTTGTGATGTTTCCATGTAGGGGACTCTTGTCGAGCAGTTTTCCAAACTAAAACTGAAATTCCAACTGTCTACAAACATGACAGTTTTTAATTTAAAGGTTATGACTTATGAATTTTGCTAGGACACTGGCGTTTGTCAATACTCATCTACGATTCCCAACTGCCAATGTATAATGGGCACATTTTCCTTTACGGCTCTGCAGTCGTCATCCCTAACAAGTGAGGGCCAGGATTGACAAACCTCGAGGTTATTCGCTGTCCAAACCCGTCGAAAGTCAAGTACCCCGATCGTTCGTTACCACGGCTCCCTATCAAAATAAAAAAGGTCAGCTTTTTGCTATAGGCGCATAATCAGACGAATGATGCCCACAGTGATTTGATGAAGGAACTAATAGGGCGTCATCTTCATACTTTGAACTTGGCGAAGAGGACATTTTTTTTTGTAGTCTTCTATTCATTCGGATTTGAAATGAAAATGTTTTTAAAACACAAATAAACTTTTCAACACCAACCGAGTTAATAAAGATGGGCATACACCATCATGCAATGGGCTATTTGCTCGGTCAGCAGCACTACAGTCCACAGTCTACTATTACTGTATCTCGATGTCCAACTCCCAGTGAATCTTTAACTTGCTGCCTATGGTAAACACAGGACCATGGTGTTTCCATCACACCATATGCGCATTTTTGTTGTCAGACCCCTCCATCATGCACAACGGACAAGGAAGAAACAAAACGGAAAAATCTTAGGGGTAGCCTATACTTCCTCGGCCAACACTTGGATCGTACCTAGCCCAGCTAGTGCGCCATGGTGACTCCCCTTAAAACAGAAAGAAAACAACCAAACAGAAAGAAGATCAAACAAGTTTTGGTATAATTAATTTATATGAACGTGAACTTTATTGTGTTTTACATAATATATTAAAGGGAAAAACTACAACATTGAAAGGATTTTGTATACATCTACACAAAATAATTGGGGAATGTCCTTTATGTAATCCATAAGGTGATTTTAATCTAATATGAAAGCATGTCATCCACACACTAAATATTTGTATGATCAACACACCACAACATAATAGAATAGTCCCACACACAACCCAAGTTTTGACAAAATCCAGTCAGATAAGAAACCATTTTTTGTGAGATATTTGATACGATCTCCCCCACTTTTGTTTACAAGAAATTCAACATCACGACTTATCAAAGAAAATTTGACGATGTTATATGACTATGACTACAAAAGCAAAAATACAAGCAAGCTGATTATGTTGACAGATATGAAGATTTCTTTCGAACTCAACTTGATTAAATTTTCAATATGTGAGTATGACTGAGCATGTAAAAGTATTAACAAATCCTAATTGGTTGTACAAACTCCAATTTAAAAAATAAATCTAAGTAATCAAAATTAAATGAAATGGGATTTAACGTCCTACTGTTCTGCTCCGACTGGGCATACGCCATACAGTAGGCGCTACGGCTTACTCTTATATCGAATTCCAACTGCCAAGGGGTCTTTAACGTGCACATCAATGTGTACACGGATGTGTCCCATCTGAACGACTATACAGTGTCCCTTGCCGTCTAAGTAATCAACACAGATATATGCAATTATCTGTACGGTTAGTTGTTATGAACTTTTTGGATGTGATTTTCAAGCCGACATGGTCTCGAGAACTTCTGACCACAAATCTGACACGTTGGTCCTCTGGGTAACAGCTGATGGATAGAGCGGAAATGTTCTCTCCAGGACCTTCTGTTAGCATAACTTTTACCACACACACAAAAAACTTTCTGTTCAGGCTGACCAATCTACAAAAATAAAAGTGAAATTCTTATCAAGACTCATTGATGTAAAAACACAAGGTGTTAAACCATAAATAAAGCATTTGGACTGTGTAATGTTACATATCACTTTTATAGACCCCATAAGGCCGGTGCGGTGTAATGTTTCAGTCTGTGTATATGTGGTGGGGTTTTTTTTGTCAAAAACAAGTTAGATACCGCTTCATTTCTCAAATAATAGTCAATGCTAATTGATGATATTGGGGAAGTGAAAGACCAAAACATATCACATACCCTGTGATAGATATTAAGTTCCACGAAGATACATTTAGATAAGGATATGCTTTTTAGAAAAAAAAACAAAAACAAAAAAAAAAATACAACACGTAAGTCCGCTCAGTCCATGACATTAAGTCTATCACAGTGTCATTTTCTTAGTAAACATAACTCTTCATGTAAATTATACGATATTGTGTATGTTCGATAAGCATCATTGTCTGGCTATGAGAGCTGTTTCTGTTGGTGTGGGTGATTATTAGAAACTCTTGAATATCACTAGGATTCTTTCTTTATCTGCATTCGAGAAACTAAGAAGTAATTCACGAACTTTTAATCATTCGTCAGTTAAGAGTTGTAGATTTCTGTAAGTGGGAATATTAATGGTACGACATGCCCCTAGCTCCTAACATTTGGATATGCCACTAAAAGGCAATATCTTTGAAGGTAATTGATTATTACAATTCTAGGATAAATTTTAAAAAGATTTCATAATTTTATCCTATATAGCTTTCACGGGGAATTGTGAACAAATTGATGAAACGGAACAACGTTAAAATACAATCATATCTCATTGAACAAAATAAAAAGATTCACGTTCTTACATATTACAACATGTGATGCGCAGTGCGAAGATGTCTCATTAAGGAACCATTTCTGGTAAATCGTCTTCCGCAAAATTGACATGGTGGAGATTCTTCCCTGATATGAACTTCTTTAATATGTATACGAAGCACACTAGCCTGAACAAAATATTTATAGCATACGGGACACTGGTGCTTGCCAGAAGTTGGTGGCTTCTTTGATACACATACCTATAAATTATAAAAAACAAAATGTTCAATTACTTATATAAATTATTTAAGAGAAAAAGTTACTATACAGTGCGTGATGCTGGAGCTGTACTTGACCACGAGCGCTAGATTTTACATGCGTGGATTCCGGGGATCTGAAATGGGGTGCGTGTAATACATACAAGTCTGTATAGTTCGTGATACACGTATTGTATTTGCAGACTAAGGGTAGTTTTACCTGCGTGTTTTACAGTTTGTGATTCATGTATTGTACTTAAAGACTAACGGTAATTTTTCCTGCGTGTTTTATAAATGGTGATTCACGTATTGTACTTAAAGAGGGTAATTTTACGTGCGTGTTTTACAGTTCGTGATTCACGTATTATACTTAAAGACTAACGGTAATTTTACCTGCGTGTTTTACAGTTCGTGATTCACGTATTGTACTGAAAGAGGGTAAATTTACCTGCATGTTTTATAGTTCGTGATTCACGTATTGTACTTAAACTGTAATTTTACCTGCGTATTTTATAAATGGTGATTCACGTATTGTACTTAAACTGTAATTTTACCTGCGTATTTTATAAATGGTGATTTACGTATTGTACTTAAACTGTAATTTTACCTGAGTATTTTATAGATGGTGATTCACGTATTGTACTTAAAGAGGGTAAATTTACCGACATGTTTTATAGTTCGTGATTCACGTATTATACTTAAAGACTAACGGTTAATGTTATTTGCTTATTAGAAAAATATACACTTTTCCTGGATTCTAGGGATCAAAAACAGGTCGCATGTTATAAATTGTAGGGTCTTATAAATGAGTTTTTATGGTATGTTTTAATGGTTCGTCGATGCTATTTTATTCTGACATGTTTCATTTGAACCTAATTGCTTATCACTTTGCACATTTGATCAGTTTTTGAGAAGACAGGTCAAATCTTGAATATATATGATCTTGTCATTGAAATCATACAAAACACAATTATGAAAACAATGATGGAATCAATTGTCTGACTCTTTTGGATTCGTCTCTCCTCCCCTAAGTTCCATGTCAGTGTTTGAGATGTTTCATTTTAACTGAATTGTTAGGAGGAAGAAATCGTAATAGATGTAGGTCATTAGAACAGTATAAACATTCTACCTGACCAAATATATGTTAAAAACCTTTTTTTGTAAATTGTGTAGGAAGCTTCAGCTATTCCATAATTGGATTCCTATTTGAATTGAATGGTTTCTATTATGTTTTGTTATGGCATCAAAATCCTGTGAAAACTGGCATACGCCATGCATTTTGCTATAAGGGAAATTTTGACCAGACAGCCCCTGAAGACCATCTCTTGTTTCATTTTCTAATTGTACACACAGGACCTCAGTTTTTCATCCCATCCAAACAACCCGATGCCATGTTTCCTTGACAGACCCGCTGCCACAATTAATACTAAATTACCATATTGGCTAAAATAAATTCCCCTGTGCCTAATCTTGCAAATGAACTATATTGGGCTAATGAAGAGTACGTACCAAGGGAAATTTTGTCCAAATAGCAGCATTAAGGCCTACTCTTCATAGAATTTTCAACTGTCAAGGTGTTTTTTACGTACACAGGGGGACATCAGCTTTTCGTCCCTTTGCCAGGACCTCTGTCCTGAACCACTGACAAGCAGAAATCAGACTAGTAAATTTTGAGGAGGAACTTTCTTGACTAACACCAGACTCAAACCTGGGATGCCCTGCTTGTTGAGTCAGTACAATACTCTCCAGTCTTGTAAAACTAGTCTATCCTTCACCACTAAATATTGCCTATGCCATTATATACCCACTTTGACCATTTCCAAAACTCAAATCCAAAATTTATAAACAAACACATATAGATCTACAAAGAAATGAAATCGATTTTTCTGCACCAACCCGGTTAATGAAAACGGGCAAAAACCACGAATTCTGATATGAGGGAAATTTTGCCTGGACAGCGGTATTTTCACCCACTCTTCGTCGAATTCCAGTTGTGGAAGTTTTCAAAATCTAGACCCCCAATTTATAAACAAACTCAACAATATCATACTATATAATTTATATATTTGTCTAGTTATTAAACAATATAATAATTTTAAAATGGTTAAAAATCTTCTGTAATAAGAGCAAACATACAAATTGGCATGAATGAAAATGTAAATACACAAATTTTAAACTCTACTGACCGATTGTTATACACACTCATGTGTAGATGAATTAAACAATTATATATCCTATGTACATGTTTATACTGGTTACAAGAATTACAAAATATAGAGTACACCAGTTACACATTTATATATACAAGAATACAAAATATAGAGCACATCAGTTACACACATATATATATATATATATATATATATATATATATACAAGAATTACAAAATATAGAGTACACCAGTTACACATATATATATATATACAAGAATTACAAGAATTTTTAAACAAAGATTTGATATTAAATGAATGTGAAAGAAATTAGTGTTAGATACACAAGATTAAATGATACCAGGGTTACACTGGTACCTGTTACACATATATATATATACAAGAATTACAAAATATAGAACAGGCAATAATGACTTCAATTAAGTATTTTATAAATGATCACCAATATCGGAAGCTGATTTACTGACACCTAACATAAAGTAGAAGACCTTGCCAATCTCATAAATTCAACAGCAACATTTACATCAATTAAAATATTTAGCTATATACTTTTAAGGATATCACCAATTATGGGAAATTGGTTGACACCTAACAAAAAACCCCTTGAGAACGCTTTCGTTACTGGTCACTATTTCTACTATAGCTCTTCTAATAATAAATTTGTATGGGTGATGACTACAAATGAGTGTTGACCCGGTAAGGGGGTGCCACCTAATGACAATTTGCTTTTAGTCATCTTGGTAACTATGGTCGTTGATAGTCTAGGCTAATCTAGGCATAGAATGGACCCGGCCACCAGGCCTGACGGGGACTTCAAGGTAACGAAAGGCTTAAACATATCTAAGTATAAAACAAAGTCTCCGATAGTTAGTTGAGGGTTGTGAAAGTTGGATCTCTAAATAAAATGGTTCAATTTCATTCAGTATTTACAAAGATACGATGAATTGCAAATTTGTCAACAATCAGCATGTACTGCAGACAAAATATAGGATATAGACAAAACAAGCCAGCGCCACCTATACATGTTAGATAAAATCTTTAGACATTTTTTTAATTCCATTGAATCCAAGCCAGGAAAGTATCTACTACCTTTCAGGGCCGTAACTAGCTCAGAGCAATGGGGGGGGGGGGGGGGGGGCGGGAAGTGTTCTCAGGGGTGCTGTAATATTGATGGACAATATACATGTATATCTGTTGTTTTTATGGTCGAAAATTATTCCACAGCGGGTGGGGGGCGGGGTAACCTTTTTGCAGGGAGTGGCTTTGCCCCCGCCTTGTACCCCCCCATCCTAGTTACGGGCCCGCTACCCTTGACAGGGCCGGCGGAAGCAATTCTTGATTGGGGGGGCTTCCATCCTAGGTCCTTATAGGCGTGGGTCCAGGGGTCGCAATAACCTGGAGAAAAGAGTACTTGTGGCCAAATTATTGGGGGGCTAGCCCCCCCCCCCCCACTCCGCCAGGCCTGCGTGATATTTTCTTAATTACATGTTAAATAATGTATTTGATTACATTTTACTGTGGATTGAGACTTATATTTCCAAAACTTTTCCAGAGACTTTTAAATAGAATGTACAGGGAACAATCAAATCATGACCGTTTGCTATGAACTTTCTGGATATGATTTTCAAGTCGGCATGGTCTGGAGAATCTCTGACCGCAGACTGGACATGTTGGTCCACGAGGAACATGTTGATGGACGGATCGAAAATGTTCTCTCCAGGATGTTTTGCTGACATAAATCTTTCCACACATACAGATAACTTTCTTTTCACGAATACCAATCTACAAAAATAAGATAAGGGAAGTCTTATTAAAAATAACACATATTCAGATATCATTGAAACCTGTTATTAATGTGGGTGTATTAGTTAGCCTAATCGGTGCAGAAAAGTAGGACGTTACAAAATTTCATTTTACTTGTCTTTACTACACTAGGATCTGGAAGAGTTGTTATATTACCGGCGTTTTGGCTGAAGTGAGGTTTAAGCCAATGAAACGGTCTGTAACGGCAACTTCTTGGCGTGCCATGCACGGAACTGTGGGTAAACCACTTGAAACGTCAACACTGATTGATTAATCAATGTCTGTCATAGAGTCAAAAGTCGCTGACACGACCTACCAGTGCAACTTGTCAGATCTTCATGTAGTGTAGGCCATCGAAAGTATATAAAAAAATCGAAGCGAAATATAGATCTGTATTTTAATCAGATTGACGTCTTGTCAAGTTTGTTGCTTGAAGAACACTACCTATGGATCAATGGGGAAGTTTGTTTTGGTCTGTAAATCAAATTCCAAAACATAAAGAAATAGAAACTTATTGTCTAGGTGAAATGAAATGAAATGGGGTTTAACGTCCTACTGTTTTGCTCCGAACTGGGCTAATGAAGACGGGCATACGCTATATAGTGTTCTATGAGGGAAATTTTGCCCGGACAGCGGCACTACGGCCTACTCTTATATCGAATTCCAACTGTCAAGGGATCTTTAACGTGCACGCCAATGTGTACACGGGACCTCGGGTTTTCGTCCCATCCGAACGACTAGACAGCTGTCCTTGTCAGCCCCTCCGTCCTGCATCACTGACAAGGGAGAACCACACCGGAAAATCTGGATGAACTTTCTCGGCCAATGCAGGGATCGAACACCCGACCTCCAGGCTAGCGGGCCAGCGCCTTACCCACTTAGCCACCGTGATCCCCTTGTTGTCTAGGAGTATCAGTTCATCAATATTCAGCTGTTAGAAGATGACCTTCAAAACAAGTGTTCAGGCCTTAGAGTTATTTGACTCTTTGTTTCTCAGTTGAGCGACCTGATAAACAAGACTATTTCAAACCTTCCTATACCGTAATTAAAATACAGGTCAAATTATATGACTCAGTGGAAAATGGGGGAAAAAGATATCCCTCACCCACCCAAGAATGGTTTAAACAATATTTATTTAGAATATGACATTAAATACAAAACTGATATAATGGATCATCGAAAGGTGTGATGAGCATGCATGTGAGCTACAGATAAGTTAGTCCAGAAACAAGATGACTGCTAGTCAGAATGTTCAACTCCAACTCCACCTGCCAAATGGACGCTGGTAACACTTTAAAAACATTTTGCTGAGCTTAGGATAGTTGTTAAGGGACCAGAATAAAGTGGGCTACTAGTAAGCAAGTGCCTTACATACAGAATTAAACAGTTTTATACCTTTAATTATATCTAAAGAAGTATATTTAAGTATTTGTAACAGTATTGTTTCGAGTAAAGACAATCAATTCAAGAAAGTGTGAAAGAAATGAAAAATGAAACAGAATTGACTGTCCTACTTTATTTGCACCAAGCATGCTAATGAAGACAAGGGAGTATAACAAAAGTTTTGCTCTGACAGCAGCGTTTCCACCTGTTCTTAGTCGAATTCTAACTGTGAAGGGTTCTTTAATCCAGGATCTCCTGGTTAGAGAGCCATCTCTTAATCACTGAGTCACAAACATCAATGATAGTGCAGCACAACATTGTCAAAATAATTGAAATGAAATAGGATTTAATGTCCTAATGTTCGCCTAATGAAGACGGGCATACGCCATACAGTGTGCTATGAGGGAAATTTTGCACAGACAGCGGCACTGCGGTCTATTCTTATATCAAATTCCAACTGTCAAGGCACGCCAATGTGTGCATGGGACCTCGGTTTTTCGTCCCATCTGAACGACTATACATTGTCCCTTGCCAGGCCCTCTGTCCTACATCACTGACAAAGGGGAACCATGCTGCATGGAAAATCCTGATGAACTTTATCTGCCAATGCAGGGAATAAAACTACGGGTTAGCAAGCAAACGTCTTACCCTTGTCAAAATAACTTAAGTGCAAAGAACAAAAGGAACAAATATCAAAAGATCGAAAATTATGTTATTAGATGTGCAGGGAGTTAATGCAGATTAAATTGGAAAAAAATCCTTACTTATATTACAGCTGGTTTTGATGCGTGGTTCGTAGATGACGTTTTAACGATCCATTTCTTGTAAATGTTTTGCCGCAAAATTGACATGGTCGAGATACACCACCCATATGAATTTCTCTCAGATGGTTATGAAGGCTATCGCGGTGGAAAAGTTTTTTACAAATGGGACATTGGTGTTTGCCAGAAGTTGACTGCTTCACTGATATTGGTACCTACAATGTATAGAAATAAAAAAAAGGTTCTCAATGTCTATTTTAACAATATTTTGGAGGCATTTATTAACTGGATGGAGCAATAAACTATTACACATACTTTTGGAACTTTAGCTTGTTGACATTTTGAAGCGTATTCTCTCAATGTTAAAAATTTGCCATACACCGAAGTGAAAATGTAAATAACAGAAGGAGGACATTTCAGTACAATGGGAAACAACTGCTTAAAATAGTTGAGAAAATATTCTCCCAAATCAATTACTAATTGTTCTTTCATAAGTATGTGTTATAGTTTATTCCTCGATTTCAATCAAATAAATTATTCACACAGATATTGTCGGATATTACACATCTTGGTTTAATGCCAACCAAAAACTGACATGAAATGGGGTTTAACGTCCAACTGTTCTGCTCCGACTGGGCTAATGAAGACGGGCATACTCCATACAGTGTGCTATGTGGGAAATTTTTCCCAGACATCAATGCTATGGCCTACTCTTATATTGAAATCCAACTGCCAAGGGATCTTTTACGTGCATGCCAATGTGTACACGGGACCTCGGTTTTCCTGTCCATTCAAACTACAAGACAGCTTTCCTTTGTTAGCCTTTGGATAATTGAGGTTACTTTACCCTTTTAGACCTTTAGTTTTAAAGAATTATTATATACCCTGGGTTATCTACTTTTTTAACCTGAGGCCCATTGGAACCATGGGGGGGGGGGAGTACTGAAGCCCCACCCAAATATTTTGCAACTGTATCTTTCTTAGTTAAGAATTTTGCGAGCGTATACCCCCATTTGTGAAATTAATAGTGACATATCTGCCAGTGTCCATTTAATTCAAGAGCTTGTCTTGATTATCAAATATAATATAAGCATTAATATCAAAATCATATAATTCCCTTACTTAGTTTTTAGTTCCTTGATGTGCCGTTCTTAGATGCCGAATTAAAGAACCATTCCTTGTAAACTGTCTTCCACAATACTGACATGGGCGAGATACAAATCCTCTATGAATTTCTCGCTTGTGATTATTAAGACTACTGATATGCACAAAAAGTTTAAAACAATCGGGACACTGATATTTACCAGATGATAGTTGGGTCATTGAAGCCGGCACACGCACCTATAATATACAGAAAAAAAATATACGTCAAAAACGTTCTCACATCCATCTTAAAGTAATCATCTCTTTCAAAAATCTAAAGGCCTAATGATTAAATTGTACTGGACATTTTGAACTTTGTGCTGGACATGTACTATAAAAATCTATAAATCTGCAGGCCTGGATATAACAAGCTTAAAATGTCAACCACTACTGAACTAGTATCTGACATTTTGAACTTTGCGCCAAACATGTATTGGTCCAAAAAATTATTTAAAACACAGACGAGAGACGAATTTGTGTCAGACAAAATGACAGACATGACAATCTATAATCCTTGAAACCAGTGATTGTTTTTCATATAAATTGTGTTGTGTTTTTTAAATTTATAATGTTTTATAAAACACATAGCAGTATCATTAATATATACACATATATATATATCCTTTACTATAATATCATCAAAGTTGATACTCTAAAAGAAATATCAATCCAAAAATGGTTAAATTCCATTGAGTATTTACAGAAATCTGATGAATTGAAAAATCCTCTACAGACAATTAAAACAAGTGTATTTTTTTTTTAAATTTTTGGATGGACCTCAGTTTTGTCTATCTGGGAGATCATATCGGCTGTGAAATATTACAAATTGTCCCAAAAATGTATGTTTGGGATTGGTGACTTGAAACTAAATATTAATATTAAGGAATGTCAGTCCAAAAAGAAAAGAAATGAAATGAAATGGGGTTTAACGTCCTACTCTACTGTTCTGCTCCGAACTGGGCTAAGAAAGATGGGCATATGCCATACAGTGTGCTATGAGGGAAATTTTGCCCGGACAGCGGCACTACAGCCTACTCTTATATCGAATTCCAACTGTCAAGGGATCTTTTTCATCCCATGTGAATGACTAGACAGCTATCCTTGTCAGTCCTTCCGTCCTGCATCACTGACAAGGGGGAACCACGTTAGAAAACAAGGATGAACTTTCTCAGCCAATGCAGGGATCGAACACCCGACCTCCAGGCTAGCGAGCCAGCGCCTTACCCACGTAACCACTGTGACCCCCGTCAGCCCAAAAATGGTTCATGTTCATTCAGCAGCTACAAAGATATGACGAATTGAAAATTAATACTAAATACAAGTCCCTTACTTAATCTAAAATTGTTGATGAGCTGTTCGCAGGTGTCGTACTAAAGAACTATTTCTAGTAAACCTCCGTCCACAATATTGGCATGGGCGTGAAACAACCCCTCTGTGGACTTCTCGATTATGATTATAAAGACTACGGACGTGACCAAAAAATCTAAAACAAACAGGACACTGGTGATTGCCTTGAGTTGAATGCTCCCTTGATACAGATACCTATAATGTACAGAAAAAAATCTAAATTTTAAAAAAAAACAAAACAACTGTCATCTGTATCAATGGCACGCTGTATGTATTAAAGTAGTACTAAGTCTAGGTAAGCTAGTATAATTGGTTGTCATTAATTAGCTTTAAACCATACTAAATGTTGAATATGTATATCAATTTTAAAATTCTAGTGGTTTAAGCTCCCATTCAGTCAGTATTTAAAAAAAACCCAAAGCAACTGTCATTTGTATCTATAGCAGGATGCATGTATTACAGAGGTAATAATATGTTTAGGTACGCTAGTATAATTGGTTTTGAATATGTATCTTAATTTGAAATATCTAGCGGTTTAAGCTCCCATTCAGTCAGTATTTAAAAAAAACAAAACAAAAGTCATCTGCATCAATGGCAATATGCATGTATTAAAGAGGTAATAATATGTTTAGGTAAACTAGTATAATTAGTTTTCATTAATTAGCTTTTAATCATACTAAGTGTTGAATATGTATATTATTAATTTTAGGTCCAGTGCTTGCAATATTCTTGAATAATGTCCATTATTTATCTCTCTATGAGGTCATTTACTGCTTGACAAGTTTTGAATACAGTATGTATATTAATTTAAAAATTCCAACAGCTTGCAATATTCCTGAATAATACCCATTGTTTATCACTCTATAATTTCACTTGCTGTAAACAAACGTTATTTTGGTAGCTTATTAAGCTAAGAATTGGAGATTTTCAAACATTGTAGTTGAGGAATGTAGAAGTTGTAAGAGAGACAGAGAGAGAAATGGGGTTAAATGTCCTCTCGAAACAAACTAAGTCATTTTGGGACTAACATATGGTTCAATTTTATTACAATAATTTGCTTGTGTGTAGGTCTTTAACAGTGTGAGAAAACTGGAGGACCCGGAGAAAACCCACGACGTTGGAAAGCAACCTACTCCTTGTCATGTACAAGCGTGGAATCAAAACCACGCCACATGACTCAATGACAGACCTTATAATGCAACGCGCACGTGTTAACCATTCGGCCACCCAACCCCCCTGTAGAGGTTTGTAAGAGTCTAGATGTTTGTAGATGACTAATATATAGTATGTTTACATGTAACTCCATGCAAAGACTGGGCATGGCTGATTTCTATAAATCAATAACCATATTGTTTCTTTACAAGGTGCCAAAAAGTATTTGAAAACCAACAACATTAATTTTTTTGTTATTAAAACGTCCTGGCCATACTATAACGTATCAATAAATAATATCAACTTATTAATAAATAATATGTTACTTAAACAGAAAAATATCGTAGCCTAATAATCGTAGTGATAAATAATATTATATTTAAACAGAAAAATATCCTGACCATGTTAACGTAGCAATAAATAATATCTTACTTAGGCAGAAAAATCATGATGAGCATTACGAAGATGCCGTAACAAGGAAGCATTTCTTGTAAATCTTCTTCCACAATGCCGGCATGGTTGAGATTCCTGTCTGATATGAATTTCTCTGACATGATTACGAACACTGCCGGACTTGGAAAAAAATTTAAAACAAATGGGACATTGGTATTTAGTAGAGTCTGATAATTCTCCATGTACCTACAAAGAATAAAAATAGATAGTAAAGTGTCTTCTTGTCTTTCAATAAAAAAGATATGGATTTAACTAGAAAATCATAAATGGGATAGTTTCATGAAATGTACAATGATTTGGCCAAAGAGGTTTTCAACCGAACACTAAAGTCCCCATCTCACTGGGCTGTGACTGTTGGCAATAAATTGCAAACAAGTGAGGTTCCAAAGTGAAATGAAATGAAATAAAATGGGGTTTGACGTCCTACTGTTTTGCTTCGAACTGGGCTAATGAAGACGGGCATACGCCATACAGTGTGCTATGAGGGAAATTTTGCCCAGACAGCGGCACTACGGCCTACTCTTATATCGAATTCCAACTGTCAAGGGATCTTTTACGGGCATGCTAATGTTTTTTTGTCTCATCCAAATGACTAGACAGCAGTCCTTGTCAGACCCTCCGTCCTGCATCACTGATAAGGGGGAACCATGCCGGAAAAGGTTCCAAAATGGCCTGAAAAGTTTTCAGATAATCTTAATAACCTTGTGCGTGTCGCAGTGTATTGCTCTCGTGTCACTGCAATTTTGAACAATATAGTCACAGAGTCACCGCTGGTGTCTCAAACCCAGAAAGTGTGAGATATCTTCAACAGCTTTATGAGCGGTTGGCGACCTATGTAACTAATGGGATGGAACGAAAAACGGGCTCCCATTGGCAGTAGGAATTCATGCAAAATTCTCGTTATATAGTAGCCTACACTGTATGGCAGTTGCTGGTCTTCATTAGCCAGGACAGAACAAAAAAGTAGGATGTTAAACCCCTTTCAATATATCTTGAAAAAGAAGGTTCAACACTTAAAATGATAGCTTAACAAAACTTTGAATTACACAAGGTGATGAATTTCTGATGATATTCACTGCTAGACACAAATTAACAGCACCAGGCCTCGAAAATATGATTTTAGTTGTCCTTGACAAAAAGTCACCCGGCCTGGAATTCACGGTTATACCCAACAAAATGTCAGCCAAATTAATGAGCTAGTACATAACATTTGGAGTTTAGTGTCAAACAAACATCAATGAAAAATGAAAACACAGATAAATCTATGTGGTACAAACACACAAGGCATTGTGTCTGACAAAGCCTGAAATTGTGTCTGACAATCAGGGACATTTGGCATATTTCCAGGCTTGAATAACAAAAAATAGAATCAAATAAACCCCCTTACTTAGTCTGACATGCTGCGATGAGCAGTTCTTAGATGGCGTAACAAAGAAGCATTTCTTGTAAATCTCCTCCCACAGAATTGGCACGGCTGAGATTGCTCCATGATATGAATTTCTTTAATGTGCAAACGCAGACTACCACCATGAGCAAATAATTTACGACAAATAGGACATTGTAGTCTTCCATTCACTGACAACGGCCTCAATTTCATTACCTATAAAGTATAAAAAAACACACAAAAAAATCAAGTCAGTGGCCAACAAATTTCTTTACATTTTAAAATGAATTATATATATTCGTTTTAGTTATTAAAATTCATATCTTGTTGTCTGTGCTTATGATAAAATACATTGACTCCAAAGTCCGAATATATGTTGATGCCTATTGTATTTTAGGGAAATGGGGAGAAAACTGGCATCAATTTCTTTTCATTTACTAATAACAACAATCATGTTGTCACCAGACAGTTGTAGGCCTTGCTAACACCCAACAGCTAAAACAAATGTAACGAGAGAGGTAACAATACGTGTCCACAGGATGGAAGGGGGTTTATATTAATGTCTTATCGATGCAAAACTTGGTTATTTTCATTGGTATAGTACAACTTTCAATGACAAGTGAGTCATTCTATAGTCAAGAGTCTACTGCCTTATCCCTCGACTACCCCAGTCCCTTGTTTAATTCATGATCTCGAAAAGCTGTCATTTAGAGAAATTTGTAGTTTTAAATGGATTGTGTGGCTGTCATTTAGAGAAATTTGTAGTTTCAAATGGATTGTATGTCTGAAACCCTTTAATGGTTTAATTTATACTTTAGTTTCAGTCCCAGTACGTTTCAAAGGATCATCAATAATTTTTGTAACCTTTACAAATCACCTACATTATCAAATCTCGACCGAATTTCTGTAACCTAATGCTTTACAATGTATATATTTTACAAACCATCAAATTACACCATAATGCATTCAGAAACAGCCTAATCAATACACTGTCCATGAAAATGAATCAAACTTACTTTAGAGAAATTTGTAGTTTTAAATGGATTGTGTGGCTGTCATTTAGAGAAATTTGTAGTTTCAAATGGATTGTATGTCTGAAACCCTTTAATGGTTTAATTTATACTTTAGTTCCAGTCCCAGTACGTTTCAAAGGATCATCAATAATTTTTGTAACCTTTACAAATCACCTACATTATCAAATCTCGACCGAATTTCTGTAACCTAGTGCTTTACAATGTATATATTTTACAAACCATCAAATTACACCATAATGCATTCAGAAACAGCCTAATCAATACACTGTACATGAAAATGAATCAAACTTACTTTAAATGAGAAATTGTACTTAGTACATCAGGAACTATAATATATTTTGAAATCAACAGTATATTTACTCCTGGGTATAAAATAACAACTGTACAATTTGCGCATACTATGTTCTGGTCATGGCTGGTACCAACAATTATTCTTACCAACAATACATGCTACCTTGTGTTTGTTATTGACAGAGAGTATATTATGAGAATCACAGAATGATTACTTTTATCACTTATACCCACCCTGTGAGACCGGGGTGGCGTACTTACTGCGCTGCTATGGCGACGGAAAATGGTCTCAGAGCGCATCAAGATTGTTTTAAGCGTGGTGGAAACGCCAGATGTCATGCTGTGGTCTGCAAAGTCACAGCATTTGTTTTGTGCATGTTCGAAATAAACGCTAAGGTTCTGTGATCTGACCTGGAAAGCTGTGAGAACGCAGCTTTTTTCCAGTTTGTAATTTTTCGGATATTTTCTCCCATTGTGTTCACATTTACGGGCGACTTTGTGCATTTCCTGGTCGCCGTACAGTCGCAGCAGTGCAGTAAGGACGCCACCCCAGTCTGACAGGGGCAATTGGAAAAATATTTCAGTAAATAGTTATACACTTTTAATGAATGGTTTAAGATAGTGTTATTTCCTTACTCCACCAAACATGGATGATTGCTGAATATTTAAGCCGATCACTACACATTTCAGACTGATCACTGCTCATATTGGCAAAACTACACGCTTATTTATTCACGAAGTGGGTGCTTTCAACTCAGACATGGAAAAGAATCAATTAAACACAAACTTTAAACAGATTTAGTTGAAAGTGTAAAGCAGGGTGTGAATCTTCTAGTCCAATCCCTTTATAAAACAGTTAGGATTTATCATTTTTACTCCAGTATTTATTAACATCCAACGTATGCAGGGCAGCAATATGTGTTTTTAAGGAGGTTTTACGAGTAAAGGATCGATCACATATGGGGCAGTGGAAGGTTTGAACAAGATCACTGTGGGCCTCTCTGATATGACGTTGAAGATTATTTCTGGACATATAACTTCTTGGACACGAATGACACACCAGCCTCGACTCTTCATTCATCTGAAAATAGGGAAATGATCTTGTAAGCAATTAATCTAAATATGCTAACCATCTTAGTTCCAAATAAGCTGTGAGACAAATGTGGGTGGATTGGGTAACAAAATTCTAAAATAATTTCAATAAAATTTTTAAAAAAATATTTGACACTTCTATAACACAACTGCTATGTCCGTGAAAACTTTCGCTGTAAAAGGAAGGTGGTTGAATAAATCTAAATAGTACTGTATTTCCTGGTGCTCAAGTGTTGGCACCAATCTGTTTCACAGAGAATTACGAGTCTCGTATAATATCTCTGTCATAGATGACTGCCTTAACACGTGCTGTCACAGCACGCGGTGTGAATCATTGGCTGAATGGCGCGTGCATTGTTTACATAAGACATAACAGCTTCGGAGAGAATGCTGCATTTTAGTCATTTTAATACCCATTTACACTAAATCGGAAATAATTTTTAACTACAAATACGTCAAACACCTTTATTTATTTTTCCAATATATACAAAAAATGTTTTAGAATTTAATTTGTCGCAGGAAAAAAGTTAATATTTCTAGCTCATTAAGCCGCATCAATGTCATCCTTATCAGTGATTGTCGCGGCCAAGCAAATATTCACTGCTGATCAGTGTGTGTTGGCACATGTAGCCTACATTGCATTTGTATTTCCATTATTAAATTTTACTAGGTCTACAACTGTTAGATTGTGTAATTTATTGTGCTCCACAGACAGTGGGATAAAATGGCACATTCTTGAACATTGACAGTCAGCATACTAGTCTGAATACATATATATTGCCAGAATCTTGTTAGTACGTGAGTCTAGTATGAGAGAGGCATTGGAACGTTTTCACATTTATCGAAATATTCAGTACTGATTTGATGCCAAACTGAAGTTCCCCAACGATGGCATGGCACCAATATTAAAATGTGGAATTTGGTTGTAAAATATTTCATCATTCAGTTGGTACAAAAGGTGCCCCTCTACTTACAATTGCCGAACCTGGTCTTGTTAAAGAAAAACATTTATTGCTGACATCCTTTCGCTAAGTAATGCTAAATTCAGTGGTTATTTAGTGTCCATCTACACAGAAGAGTTGAAGAATAAAGAAACTACCTATAGTGACAAGGCATCATACTACTTGGATAATTATGTTAGTCAATACTGACGAAAAGTGAAACTGAAGAGTAAAAGCTGGTTTCAGAAGGTTTCATCCCCATGGTTATAATCTGACTTACAGACAATAAGGAATACAGAAATAATAACCAAATAAGTGTTCAAATCATTCTTTAATTCAAATAAAACAAGAAAACTTTATATACATTATGTGAAAAATATGGAGATTTTTAAAACAGATGAATCAATATAGAGCAACATTGATGTACACCAGTAAGATATATACAATGACCCCAGTGTAATGAAATTTAAACAAGTATTTGTAATTACTAGCTTGTCCTTTATCCAATTTAAACAAGTAAATATAATTACTAGCTTGTCATCCAATTTAAACATGTTTATATAATTACTAGCTTGTCATCCAATTTAAACATGTTTATATAATTACTGACTTGTCCTTCATTCATTTTAAACATGTAAATATAATTACTAGCTTGTCCTTCATCAAATTAAAACATGCATATATACAATTGCTAGATTGTCCATCCAATTTATAAATACTAGCTTTTATCCAATTTAAACAAGTAAATATGATTACTAGTTTGTCATCCAATTTAAACATGTAAATGTAATTACTACATTATAGCTTGTCCTTTATCCAAGTTAAACATGTAAATATAATAACTATAAGATTGATATTTATCCAATTTAAAGTTGTAAAGATAATTCTTCTTCATCCAATTTAAAGATACATTATGGGAGATTAGATAAAGAGTTGGCAGTTCTCATTACAATAGTTAAAAGCTAGATAACGTAAAGGGAATTTGCTGAAAATTTCAGTCAAATTGATCCACTCTGAACCGAGAATTTAGCGATTGAATTTTCAGCCTAGCCTCAATCATCATTACTAGAGTCGGTATGATAAAACATAGTCTCGACTCTCGAATATCCATTTCATGATTAGATCATGAATGAAAGTTGAGCAGCAAATCGGATCCTAATCCAGTAAATATCACAGGCTAGCGATGACATCAAAAGTTGATTATGGTCTGGATAAGTTAATTAATGTCTAATTAATAATTTAGATGACATTTCACGCCTAAAGAAAGACTTGCAATAGGCAGATTTAGCTCTTGCATAATGTATGTTTAACCATGTAAGTATAAGTACTAGTTTGCCCTTTATCAAATTAATTAATTACTACCTTATTACTCATCAATGTTAAACAATAATAATCAGGAATTAAAACTTAGAAATGAAATGGGGTTTAACATCCTACTGTTCTGCTCCAACTGGGTTAATGAAGATGGGCATACGCCATGCAGTGTGCTATGAGGGAATTTTTGCCTGGACAGCTGTGCTACAGCCTACTCTATCAAATTCCAACTGCCAAGGGATCTTTTACACACACGCCAATGTGTACCATCCGAATGACTAGACAGCTGTGCTTGTGAGCCCTCTGTCCTTCACCACTGACAATGCGAAACCATGTCAGTAAATCATGATAACCTTTTCTCAGCCAACACCGGGAAGTAAAGCTGGAAATCTACACACAAATTAATGACAGGGAATTAGAATAAAATTCTATTGGACCGGAACCGATATTCTCTCTCGTAAATATTAACTGAAAATAGACTGATTTAGAAATTATGCAACAGACAACTCTGATAATCCCAAAAAACATTAATGATGGGGATTTG